GGCAGTAGGATACTTTGTACTTGAAAACAATTTTGTTGCACTATGAAACAATTCCAATTTTTCACAAATCTCTATTGCCACCTCCCAATCATCTTTAGTTGGACAAATCTTGTAATGAGAATCTCGATATTCTAAGCAAGCAAACTCATCTCTATAAATTAGATTAGTTTCAAGCATGAGAAAAGTAGACCTCCATCGAGTCTTAACATCAAGAGCAAGCTTCTTGTTACTTGGAATATGTATCTGATGAGCTATCTCTTCAAATTTTTGCATTTTCTTGGGAGACGTTGTCCAATAAGCTACACTTCCACAAATTCTTTCAATACCATTTCCAATCACATTCAAATCATCTTGGACAAATAAGTTGAGAATATGTGCATAACAACTTATATAGAACAACTGACCATGTAATATTAGTGAACCAAATGAAAGTTTATCCAACAAAATAGCCATAATTACATCATTAGTGGTACAATTATCCTCGGTCAAAGTTATCAACTTTTTATTAAGATTCCAATCGAAAAAGTAATCCATCAAACACTCCACAAACACTTCCTTGCTGTGTGGATAAGACACATATAAAAATCTAAAGATAATAAATAACAAATGTTAATGGAAGATAATTAGTACCTTATAATAAATAACACAAGCTAATGAAAGATCATTAGTACCTTATAATTCGACTTTGCAATGTCCAAGAATTGTCAATAAAGTGTGTGGTGATTGCCATATATCTTTTTCTTTGATTGTCTGAGGACCACATATCTGTAGTAATAGCAACTCTACTTTATATTTTTTCCAACAACTTCATTGTCTTCTCCTTTTCAGTTTTGTAAATTTGAAAGATATCATTTCCGAGAGTGTTTCGGGATATCACTTTGAACAATGGTTGAAGAGTGTGACAATATTTTTGAAACCCGTGGTGCTCAACCATACTAAGAGGATATTCATGCAATATAATCATATTGGCAAGATTCCTCATCCCCACCTCTTGAACAAATAGCTAGTTTTCCATTGTTTTCTCGGTATCCTTCTTTGATTGGTTTAATGCCAATAAACATACTTCAAATTTTTATATTTCTTCATCAGACAACTTTTAAGATGGTCATGCAAGTGGCTAGTTCCATTCTTAGCACCACCAACAAGTAATTTCTTACATTCATTACACTCGGCCTTTAACTTTTCATCAACTGTTTTCCTTTTGAAATGATCTCACAATTGATCTATGCCTCTCTGTTTCACCAAGAGTCATTGGAGTTGAGTTGGTAGATTGATTTTCATTAATAGAGATTGGAAGTTGGTTGCTTTCACCCGGTGTTGCAGAAGTTTCAGAAGTTGACATATTATTTCTCTCTTCTTCTCCTTCCATTGCTTGTAATCAATTACATGTAAAAGTCAACTAAATGTCTACAATCACCAGCAAACCATACACTAGAAACAATAACCTGATCAAGTGTTATGTTACCCTCAAGAAACAACATGACAACCTCTTTCTTGTTATTCACAAGTTACACAACTGTTAATTATGCAACTGATCAAGTGTTGTGTTACACAATAAGTATAAAAATAGCATGATTAATATATATTAGATCAAACAAAATCCCTCAAAATTATCAAACATGTATCCAATGAATCTCAATGGTGCAATTCAATTATATATAATGAACAACAAGAATTCTTAATATTTAAAACCTACTATCAAGAATCCTCAACATCACATTTCATAGCAGCAGTATGTAATAACTAATATGATTTATCCACTAAGCCACCTATAAATTATCAATGTATATGAAATTATTAATTCATTCATGGGATGTCAAGGACATTCATAAGGATTGTATAATTATTAAAATGGGTAATATGATTATCAATGAATATGAAATATGATAAATGCTAAAATTAAAATAGGCCAAAATTTATATAAATACAAATTAATTGAATCTGAAAATAGACAAAAAAAAAAACTACATATAACATAATATAATAGCACACACAGAGAGACAGAAACAAAGATCTGATACCAGATGATGTGCCTCAGATTGTCGACTGAAGGATGAAGATTGAGCTGTTGAGTGCAGCGATCAGCGAGCAAGTGTCCTGGTCTTCGATTGAGCCTTCAATTGGTCTTCGATTGAGCTGTTGAGTGCAGCGATTAGCGAGCAAGTGTTTGTGTGTGTGTGTGAGTGAGAGAGAGAGAGAGAGAGATGACTAACCTGTGAGGCTATGAGGAGAAGTCAGCATTGAGGAACAACACAGGGCAAAGGCAAAAAAAACTCCAATGGATTAGGAGAGATTACCTGTCCTGGTCAGCCGACACCTAGAGACGATGGAAACCTACAATGAGGGAAAGACGATGGAGGGATGAGACAAACGATGGAGGGAAGGGAGAGACGATGGAAAGAGAGAGAGACAGAACGACGGAGGCGAGCAGCAGATAGAGTAGACTCAGGAGAGTAAGTTAGGGCTTGGGAATATATATATATAGCGGGAGCGGGGCGGGGGTAAGGGTAAATTCATCCCTGCCTTCATCCTCACGTGGGTTTATATGGGTATTCTCGTATACGTCTACCGTTTACTATGTATAGTCTATTCCTAGTTCAAACGGGATAAATTTTGATGAATACCTATTTTTTTTTGGTCTACTGTCATCCCTAAATATCATTGGTACCATTGGCCTAATCCACGCCATAGCTTGCCTGACTGCTCGCCTCACAGTGCAGGCCATGACATAGTTATACCCATTTTAGTATAAAAAACTTTACTTCATACCAACCCCAAACGAAAAAGAAAAGTGATACTAATATTTATAATATAAAACATGTCAAATTTCAATAAATTTATTCAATGATCTCAAATATACTCATTTAACTGTCNACTGCTCCCCTCACAGTGCAGGCCATGACATAGTTATACCCATTTTAGTATAAAAAACTTTACTTCATACCAACCCCAAACGAAAAAGAAAAGTGATACTAATATTTATAATATAAAACATGTCAAATTTCAATAAACTTATTCAATGGTCTCAAATAGACTCATTTAACTGCCNCCATTTTAGTATAAAAAACTTTACTTCATACCAACCCCAAACGAAAAAGAAAAGTGATACTAATATTTATAATATAAAACATGTCAAATTTCAATAAATTTATTCAATGATCTCAAATATACTCATTTAACTGTCACCAACTTCTCTCTCAAAACCATTAACATTGAATTTTTTTCTTATCCAAATCTATCACTTCTCATTTACATTACACAGTACTTTCAGGCACAAGTTACTCCTAATTACGTTTAATTAAGAACTAAAACAGTGATGCTGAAAAGTTGAATTTCCTCGTCAGTGGCTAAAAACTCAGATTTCTTTACTCAATGTTTGAGTTTGAGTTACTCAATATTTGAGTTTGAGTCTCTATATCTACGATAACTCATTGGGACTAAACATACTCTTTAGCACCTAAAACACACGGTAAAATCTTAAATTCAACCCCAATTTAGGTTCGATGATGTCCTTTGTAGATAACTGTGTAGTGCTGAGGAATAATACTCCCTAACGAATATATGAAATAGCATATTTAAATATACATTTCGAATACCCAAAAAAAAAAAAAATCCAAGTGTTCCAAAATTACACAAACACTTGATTCAAAAAAAAAAAAAAATTGCAAACTCACAAAAAGGAATCGGAAGCTCCACTAATCACCTATCAGAATTNATATATATATATATAGGTATAGCGGGCGCGGGGCGGGGGTAAGGGTAAATTCATCCCTGCGTTCATCCTCGCATGGGTTTATATGAGTATTCTCGTATACGTCTACCGTTTACTATGTATAGTCTATTCCTAGTTCAAACGAGATAAATTTTGATGAATACCTATTTTTTTTTGGTCTACTGTCATCCCTAAATATCATTGGTACCATTGGCCTAATCCACGCCATAGCTTGCCTGACTGCTCGCCTCACAGTGCAGGCCATGACATAGTTATACCCATTTTAGTATAAAAAACTTTACTTCATACCAACCCCAAACGAAAAAGAAAAGTGATACTAATATTTATAATATAAAACATGTCAAATTTCAATAAACTTATTCAATGGTCTCAAATAGACTCATTTAACTGCCACCAACTTCTCTCTCAAAACCATTAACATTGAATTTTTTTCTTATCCAAATCTATCACTTCTCATTTACATTACACAGTACTTTCAGGCACAAGTTACTCCTAATTACGTTCAATTAAGAAGTAAAATAGTGATGCTGAAAAGTTGAATTTCCTCGTCAGTGGCTAAAAACTCAGATTTCTTTACTCAATGTTTGAGTTTGAGTTTCTATATCTACGATAACTCATTGGGACTAAAGATACTCTTTAGCACCTAAAACACACAGTAAAATCTTAAATTCAAACCCAATGTAGGTTCGATGATGTCCTTTGTAGATAGCTGTGTAGTGCTGAGGAATAATACTCCCTAACAAATATATGAAATAGCATATTTATATATACATTTCGAGTACCCAAAAAAAAAAAAATCCAAGTGTTCCAAAATTACACAAACACTTGATTCAAAAAAACAAATAAAAATTGCAAACTCACAAAAAGGAATCGGAAGCTCCACTAATCACCTATCAGAATTCTTTGTGATAGCAGATCTTGCTTTTCAAACCAATTATCCTGTAACATACCAATCGAACCCATGCTGATAGTTCAAAGCAAACATAAAATCTTTGTAGTCTCTTGCTCTTTTCCACTTCATCTGTTGTTAGAATTCTACAAATGTTGCAACCAAAAAACACAGGAATGATACATTTATCAGGCAGAAACCAGCAATTTTCACCCCCCAACGCCCCCACTTATATTCCCAAATTAAGCTTAGTATACCGATAATTATGAATGGCAAGTCTCAGAACATAATAACATAGAGATTTAAATATTGCAGGACAACCTTACAGAAACAATGGAACGATCCTTCTATTTACATCTATAAGCGCACGTAAAGTTATCAAGCTCCAGACACATTGATCTCCTGGCAGCGTACAATACCACCTGCTCCTCCATAGCACAACCATCTCTCACTGCCCTTGTTCATATTCCATCTAACCCTGTGCATTGCAACGATTTTGGGAGGAAGAACTTCAATTTCATCCCTAACCTCCCCCTTCTCTTCAACCTGATTATTCTCTGGCTCTTCATCTCTGCATACCAGTGCTTGTTCAGCTTTCTGTTTTTTCTTACTGCTTGCTTTAGATCTTGGTGCTTGTTTGCTCTTCTGAGCCACCAATGTGTTGTCAGATCCAGATTCCATTCCAGGATCATCCCCATAACACAGAGCTGTATTAGGACGGAAGGTTAGTTAAACATTCTCTATATAAGATGGTAACATGAAGCAAAAATTGTGACGCAAAATGCAGACGCACAAAGATTGTGAGATGTCAAAACTTACCTAAAGGTTGTTCAGCTAATGATTGACCTTTTGCCATTTGCTCCTTTGCTCTTTTCTCTTGATTGGATACGGATAAAAACCCACGTATGGTCCTCGGGGTATCACCCCACTCATTCAGTGACTTCTTCATGGGGAATGGAATGTCAGGCAATGGAGTGATCACTGTAAGAGCTGATTCTTCCTCAGTGAGTGATCCACAGAGAAAATGTGGAGCACGATTTCGCAGAGGATCTTTCTCCACTGCTCTAGTTGTAAGCTGATCAAAAGGTAACGCAAACAGGTTTGATTATGTAAATTTAAAAAACCCCACACCACCAGGTTGACAAGTCAAGATCTCAATGCCCAAACTCCCTTCTGCAACTTCTCGATAATATTAAAAGCTGAAGAGAAGTGTGGCTTGTAGCTAAAGAACAACACCAACTGCTATTTTTCAGCAAACAACTCAAGTTTGCAATCAATTTCAGACCATAAGAGGCATATTAGCCAGTTACATAATTAAGCCGCTAAATCCTGTGTGCCATGCTTTTTCCATACCCATGTAAGTGTTCTAGCACGTTAAACGGACATGTTGAATGTCTAAAAGTGGTAAAGAACTAGCATGAGATGGACTCTGCTAAACTGACGAGATTAGAAAGCTTTAAAGCTATAATTAACTTCCAATATTCCACCATGAAAATCATTGCAGAAAGTCAGTAGGTCCAGGAATACATCATTATGCTCCTATTTAATTTGCAGGTATCATGAAATGGAACCAGGATCAATCCCCCTATTTGAATCCATGTGACAAGTAATAGGACGTTTTATAAAGTAAAATGTTAATTGATATTCAATGAGAACTCGGATGAATGGCTTGCATCAAAATTGATAGCGATGAGATCAAACCACACCCACCTGGAAACGTAGAACATTACCATCCGCACTACAATATGCAACCATTCCTAAAATTGACAATAAAATGTGTCAATAGCTGCAGAATGCAACAATAAAAACTTTAAATACAACATCACAGTTCCAAATCCCACTATGATTGCCTAAAGAAAAGATCACGTCAGAAAATTTCTCTATTCATCATTTCTTTCTGTATAACGCCCAACACAATCTTCAAATCTTCCCATGCCTAAACCATGTTTTAGATGTGTACCACCCCAACTAATTTACGCCCCTAAGGAGTTTGAATTTCAATAAGGAAGCTCCTCAAACACCCATGAAGTGCAAACATGGTTATTGGAAACAATTATGAAACAAAATGGACAAATTAATGAAACAATATTCATATGGTAGAGAAACAGTACGTATATAAGAAACCTAGTTTCTAGATTAAGAGCAAGTTACGTGAGAAAATTGGGGTCTATGTTGCATGGACACAAAAACAAGTCTAAACAGCAAGGTAAAAAAGACAGAAACAATGAAGTCACAGACACGTACCACTCAAGCTACACCCGGTGGTAACACAACCCTAGTGCTAATAATCAGAATCATGAATATTTTTAGNAAAAACAAGTCTAAACAGCAAGGTAAAAAAGACAGAAACAATGAAGTCACAGACACATACCACTCAAGCTACACCCGGTGGTAACACAACCCTAGTGCTAATAATCAGAATCATGAATATTTTTAGGTGATGACCTAATACTGGTTCACAACTCCTCCATGTCAATGCTGAGATAACACTGAATCTGTGGCCAGGATTATCCTCAAATATTGCACAAAATCAACCCGTTAGTGGACCAACAAATCATTGTTTGCACAATTAATTCAATACTATTCCACTAACAATACAGAAAAGAGAAAAGGCAGAGAAGTTTCTCAAATTTCTGTAAACATTGGTCAATGTACACGCATTTCCATAAAAAACTGATGTAAAAACGCAAAGCGGATCCAAATTTACAAGGAAAGAAGAGAGGAAGGGAAGTGATGGAAAACAGAGAGGGGGTGGGTGGCCCCAAGGTGTTTTTTTTGGGCGCGTGTGTTTTAGAGGGGGGGGGGGGGGAGGAGAAATCGAGAGCGGGAGTGAAATATATGTTTGAGATTTTTTAAGTTTTATGANGGGGGGGGGGGGGGGGGAGAAATGTGGTTGCAGCATCAATATAGGAAATTTCATGTATGATCATTCTAACAGATTGCCACATTAATTGCACCATTAGTATGCTGTAAAATTACAGTATGTAATTGCAATGTCATATTTAAGCAAAGAAGCTACCTGTGAGCCGTGAAACTTGAACACTCCATATTGCCAATGATGAACAATAATAACTGTGGAATCCCTGTTGCTGTGTTCCAACAAAAGGTTTTCCAGTCACGGGGGTATCATATGCAGCCTTCACTAAGCTAAGGATTCTTAAAGTACCATCATCAAAGGACACTACGACGCATCTAGAAGCAGAGAGTTCCAACATGAGAGGAAAGGAAATTTATCGAAGGATAATGATCTCCACTTAAGCAAGTCAAATAGTACCTTGGATCCGGAAGCCAATCCAAACTATATATGACTCTCTGGACTGGATTAAGGTCCCACAAGGGACGAAATGGATCACTGCAAGCAACACAAGGTTCTGTAACCATAGAGATGATACAGTGCTAATTAACAAATGTAAACAAGTTTAATGGGCATGAGTGGATACAATCTTCAATTGAAATACCTGCTCTTGTCTTGACACTTTCTTGTAAACAAGAACACATAAAGCAGCCTCAAAGAAAAATTATATGCAAGGTTTACATTAAGGACCTGAAAAGGGATCTATTTTAACTTTTTAAGCTTGTCCCATCAAACCAATAGTTAATAATTAATACCATAAGTTATGTCCAATTTGCATCCTGTATGAATGTTAAAAGAATTCCTATCGACATAATAAAGCCAATTTCAAAAGCATATGGTTTTCATCTTTCTAACAAGATGAGAAACGCATAAGCAATATTATCACCATCAGTACCATCACAGATGGAAATGAAGGAGAAACAGCCATATCATAGATGCAACAGTAAACAACTCCAAGCAGTCATACTTACCGTATATCCCAAAATTTTAGGCCTCTATGCCCAGCAGTGACAATAACATTTGCACCCTCAGGATCACTGCAAGTTTTTATCAAAAAGAAAAGAGACTCAATATAACTCAATCAAAAAATGAAAGATAAATGAACAACAAAATAGAGAGAAAGACCTTCAATAACTCCGGTTGCGTGACATTCAGAGTTTTCATATACTACAATATGTATTAAAAACCAAGACGAAAAGTCCGACAAGAATGATAAAGGTCATCATGTCACATCTGACACAGATCAGCCAATATTCAATGCCCACCAGAATGTAACGCATCCCATATAGCAACCAATTCATGGAAAAGAATCCACAAAGAACAAGTTTTAAAATTTTTTATTGAATGGAGTCCAATTCATCTAGCATCACCAACCTTTCAAATGGTGCCCAAGCAAGTGCTCTTATAGGAACTGTATCTGCACTGAAGCAAAGCAAAGGCCTTGTATCTGCAGATCAAAAGGTGCAAACATTATGTTCAACTATTTAGTTTCATTATAAGCATCACTTAGGCAATAATTTAGTTTCATTATAAGNAAAGCAAAGGCCTTGTATCTGCAGATCAAAAGGTGCAAACATTATGTTCAACTATTAGTTTCATTATAAGCATCACTAAGGCAATAATTTAGTTTCATTATATGCGTCACTAAGGCAATAATTTAGTTTCATTATAAGCATCACCAAGGCATAATGCATAAAAACTTCAACTTCCACATGCTCGCTGTCACATGGACTCTATACTCCCAAAGGTAGTATATTTCTATCTTGCGGGTTGCCAGCACAATATTTACAAATCCAGCCATCCAAGTTCTTATGTAAGAACATATCCAGGGAAAGAAGACATCACAAAAAGGGACCATAGGATGTCAATACCTTTAGATGAACCAGTTGCCGAAAACTTCCACAAGGCAACCTGAATGTACAGAATTTTTTTAGTTCTAAATACCAAAAACTACAGCATGACAAACAAGGAATCATAAAACCAAACAGAAACTAGGATGAAGCTCGGCAAAGCAACAGACTTTCATTAAATGATCTCCTATCAGAGGACATATTCACGATAACATTTTTAAAATTGTATGTATAAAGGAAAAATAACCCCAAAGAGGGAAAAGATCAAAGAAAATTGATAAGTAATCAAAGAAAAATGACAGGTCCCCTCTCTTCAACCAACATAAAATATAGAGTTCCAATAGAACAAAAACTAGCATCAACTTGAAGAGAATAAACCAAAGAAAAAGAAACTTAAAATTACCATTCCATCATGACATCCGGCCAGAATGAAATCATGGAGAGACGATGACGACCACTCCATTGTTAGAGGAATGCTGGGTAGCAAAATGGTAGCAGTAAATAAGCCAGACATAGAATGAAATTAATTATATAAGAAGCTCATTAAAAAAACTTATAGAATGAATATTAATGTGGACATTTTCTAAAAATCAAGGAAACTCAATCAGCTGCTGAAGAAGATGAATCTGGCTGGCAGAAAATAGCAAAAACTTATAATTTATTCAATCAAGTCCATTTCAGAAGGTAAAATACATCTGATGAACCCTACCAGAACAGAATGTCAATATTGTAATAAGCATAAAACTGGCACCGGAGAGATGTGGAAACTACATAATTAGCAGAGAGTGGAGCAATTAAAATTCATGTGTCCAAGTCATAGCAGTTGAACACATGTAAAAACAACTTTATCAAACCCATTATGTATTCATGAAGAACAAATGTTCGAAGCTCACAAGAAAGCTGTATCTCGTTAAACAACTGTTCCCAACTTAAAAGCGGTGACAAATACTAAGGATTNCACATGTAAAAACAACTTTATCAAACCCATTATGTATTCATGAAGAACAAATGTTCAAAGCTCACAAGAAAGCTGTATCTTGTTAAACAACTGTTCCCAACTTAAAAGCGGTGACAAATACTAAGGATTCACAAGACATGGTGGAATTCACAAGTCAAATCGTCATCTACAATATTAAGATTGGTACTCAAGTTCCCTTCTTCATACATTTGCTGAAAGCATGATCTTCTTTCATGTGGGAACACATTACTACATACTGAAAAAATGTTGTTACGCTTACTTAATCCAAACTTAGGGCAAAACACAATTCACTACCAGAAGTTAAAACCCAACTGTTGGGCAAGCCAAAGGAAAAAAAGAATAGTTTGTTCCTAGTTATCAGTGAAGTCCTTTTTCAGTAAACTGGTTTCTGCAACAAATTAGCAGAATATTTTAGTGTCAAACTAGCAGGATACATTTATCATTAGTCCAGAAGTTAATTCTTATATCTCTATATATTGGACTTTGGACAAGAGAAAAATGGATTTCCTGTGATGTGAAATTATAGATAAAAATGTTTATTGTCAACTTTCAAATTACCTTTTTCTATCACCATACTTCAACATTGAACATCTGAATACTGGCTCCAATTTAATAAAGCGAGGATCGCTACCCTCCTTTTGGCATGCAGAATAAATAACTTTAACTGTACGAGGATAAGGAACCTCCCACCTGCATTTGATTGTGTGGTCACGAGACATTATGTTAGAGCAATGTGCATGGTGTTCAATCAAAGGGGTAAACAAGTCCTGATATTGTTTGGCTTTCTGGATAGGGAAAGAAAGAGGAGGNTGCATGGTGTTCAATCAAAGGGGTAAACAAGTCCTGATATTGTTTGGCTTTCTGGAGAGGGAAAGAAAGAGAGGGAGGGGGGGGTAACATTACTGCATGTTCATAAGATGGTATGACTAGCTAAGAAAACAGATATTGCTCAATGGACACAACTCGTCTAGCTTTAGGTGTAGACAAGTGAGACAAAGAAACACACATAAATACACATGCTTTGCTAGTTCATGGGGAAACAAAACAGTTCAAAAGGTGAGTGGACAACAAAAAAAGAACTATAATGCTTGACACTCCTTAATTTAGTTCAAAAGAATCATTAGAGATAACAATTTTGGATAAATTTTAACTAAGATCACTACCGGACATGTCTGCTCAATCAGGGCAGTAGAATAGTTTCCAAGACAAAGGGCAAACCTCTAGCTTTATTCATGTTAGAGCATCCAACACAAAGGCAACTGGTAAAAAGTAGAGTGGCCCCTCAACTATAAGAACAAACCTTGTGTCTACTTAATTTTTCAATGTGGAATATCTCTCTTCACACCCTCCCTTTCCTGCAACCTAGACTCGCATGTGGGCCAACAAAATAAACTAAAACAGACAAACAGACCTGGGCTGAACTCTGAAATAAATTGATAAACAGACTGCGAAATTCAACTAGGTGAAGACTCAGCCCACTAACTACCCAAGGCCAACCTCTGATATCATGTTAGAGCATTCAATCCAAAACCAATTGGCAATGAGTGGAGTGGCCCTCAACGATAAGAACAAATCTTGGGTCTACTTAATTTTTCGATGTGGGATATCTCTCTTTGCAATTCACAAATAAATGCCTAGTCTAGCATTCAAACCACAATTATCAATCTTGAAGAATATTAACTAAGGCACATTAACAATGAGTAGTTGAGGATGGCAAAGAACATGAGGGTTATGTATCTGGATGAAGAAATGATGCAGCAGTTACAACTTGGAGAATTTCCTGTGGCATCAAATTTATGAACAAACTAATGCTTAAAAAGGGAACTACTAGCAAGTGGATCGCAAATTACTCAAATAAATTAGTAGGAATAATTAAGATTCAATAATATATCCAACTATGTATTTATCATTCATAATTGCGGACTTGTCATACAGGATTTGGTGTTTGCTGATTGGAAGGGCTGTAAGAAAATGTAAAACCAAAGATCTAATAGAGAATATGGCTAGTGAAAACTGAAGCATATCATGAAGCCCACCCCAAATAGATCAAGGCTTTGTAAAGGTGAGTTGGATAGCTGTAGGATACAAAACATAAGGCCCTTCAATCATAAATCATTTCCAACGATATATAAGGTATAAACATACACAAGAAAACTACCAAGTATGAAGGCAAGCTTACATGTGGCTGGCATCGAAAAGTTGGGAAGGGTATACAGGAGACCGTTAAGTAAAAAACTATTTGGCAAAATGAAGGAGTTAGCNATAGATCAAGGCTTTGTAAAGGTGAGTTGGATAGCTGTAGGATACAAAACATAAGGGCCTTCAATCATAAATCATTTCCAACGATATATAAGGTATAAACATACACAAGAAAACTACCAAGTATGAAGGCTAGCTTACATGTGGCTGGCATCAAAAAGTTGGGAAGGGTATACAGGAGACCGTTAAGTAAAAAACTATTTGGCAAAATGAAGGAGTTACCAATCCATTTTTTTTCTTCTTTAATCTCCCCCTTTTCTTGGGTTTGCAGCAATGGAAGATAGAGCATTTCCATCACTATTTATGTAATAGGCCAAAGAACTGACAAAATGACACAGACCACAAACTTTAGTCTAAGTAACTACATAGAAAGCGAAAGAAGAATAAATTTTTGTTCCTATTCCCTACTTTTCTTAGTCAATTAATAGACCTTAAAAACCCTTCAAAAAGGGAAAGTAAGTTCACTTTAACAAAGCATTTCCTTTATCTGTGGACACATCCATCATTTTAAAAATCTCCTTGATTTGTGATCTAGTGACANTTAATAGACCTTAAAAACCCTTCAAAAAGGGAAAGTAAGTTCACTTTAACAAAGCACTTCCTTTATCTGTGGACACATCCATCATTTTAAAAATCTCCTTGATTTGTGATCTAGTGACAAAAGAAAAAGGCTTCAAATCTCCTACTGTTTCCTTTCCTTCTTCGGTATGACTTGGAAATAATAAGAAAATGGAATTTCATATCCCACTCAAGACACAAAGGAGGAACTACAATAACAATATCAGAAAGTCATAAGAAAATATATTGATATTGGATTTCTGGATTGAGTCCATTTCGACGTCATGCTGGAGCTATTTCAAATTTGGAAGGAATGAAGTTCTTTCTAGAAGGGTTCAACATGGAATTCTTGAGACAAAAATTTGTAACTCTTGATCGAGTTTAGAAATGCTAGACCGGCAGAACTTTTTAGAACATTATCTCCCTGGTCCCTATGAAGGGCATGAGGCCAAAGAATTACGAACAGCCTAGAATCCTTGAATTAATTTTCCAAGTATAAGACAAAAGTTTGACATGAAAGTCATGTGATCATAGTAAAAAGGCCCGAACTACTGCTTTGTAAGATGAATATTGATGGAAAATAGAGGATGAATATTTGAAGGCAAAAGCTTTTTATCATTCTAAATTTTCTACAGTTGTTTCTTCAAGAGACTAAAGGTACATGGCACAAGGATAGGTTTTCCATTTCCTTTATGCTTGTAAGCAACCCGACACTCGATCATTCAGTAACGAAGAAAATGAACTACGCAATGGGTTTGCAAATAAAATGGAATGTTCAAAACGACATGCAAAACAAAAAACATGAAATCTAGAGGTCTGAAAGACATGCAATCATCCAAAAAAGAGAAATGAAAAAATTGAGAGATATCTCACACTTCTAGAGCTCCATTCCCAAGTAACACAGCAAGATAACCCATTCTATGCTTGGATTCAGTATCACAAACATTAGAAGGTCGCCATTTCACATCCCAAGCAACTTTTCCATTGTGTGCCAAGCAAAGCACAACTCTAGGCAAAGCAAGATCCTCGGGAATAGGGTATGCAGTAGGATCAATTTCTGAAAAACCATGGTTAGCAGCACTCTTGCTTAACCCTGGAGGTTCCTGCCCACAGCTTGAGGACATTTGCGGACTCATGAGGGACAACTCTGCATTTTCCTTTTGTGTTAGCAAAGGTAGATCATTACGACCAATTTGACCTTTTTTCCTTGCCTTTCCTTTTAATTTTTTATTTGCTGAAGATGTCAGTGCTGAATTATCCATGGCCACTCCTTTGCTGGAACGTTTTCGTTTACTACCAGTGTCTTCTTTTGTGATATGTTCATGTGTATCCCCAGAAAACCCCTCTACAGGGAGCAATTTGTTAGAATCTCCAGGGAATTGAACAGCAAGAGGGACAAATTGGTTGTTGCAACCTAGGTTGTCCACAGATTCATTTACTGGCTTCTTTCTAGGCCTCCCTTTTGCCTTTGGCTGAGTTGCNCCTAGGTTGTCCACAGATTCATTTACTGGCTTCTTTCTAGGCCTCCCTTTTGCCTTCTTTGGTTGAGTTACTTTGAACTTCACCGATTCACCGTTCCTGGAATTTTTTTTTGGCCTTTTCTTTGCCTGAGGAAACAAATTTTCCTCTTTCGTACTGACATTTAAGAGACACCATATCTGGATGACACCTCTGCCTGTAAGTGGGGCACCAATCTTGTGATATGAAGATTCCGGAGGATGAGCAGCAACCGCAATAAACTAAAGCTCAATAGCCAAAAAAAATTCTTAGCCATAATATTAAAGAAAGTAAATTAAGCTTGTTTGCAACCAAATACAAATCAAATAAAAGTATATTGCACGGAATCAATAAAAACACTACACCAAAGCATAACAATGGTAGATCCTTTGCAAAGGCATGTTCGTAGTGCAGCATGCTATAAAATCGAATCATTTAATCTGTGCATGTTAGGTGCAGTTTTTCTCATCAAATGTTANATAACAATGGTAGATCCTTTGCAAAGGCATGTTCGTAGTGCAGCATGCTATAAAATTGAATCATTTAATCTGTGCATGTTAGGTGCAGTTTTTCTCATCAAATGTTATACTCAAATGTAAGAGAATTTCCTACCTTACTGCAATCCAGAGAAGAAATTCCTCAGTTGGTAATGTCATTGTGTCAACCACATAGTGCAAGAATTGTCTTTTGTATTTCCGGAAATAAAGAAAATGAGAATTGATTTGAAGTCCTAAAGCCACTTCAAGAGACTCATTTACTCCAAGAAATAAAGAACATGAGAATGGATTTTAGGCCTAAGGTCTTGTGGTTGAGATTATGGCATTGCCAAGAAAGGACTCTTGCCCCTATGTGATGCAGTAAAGTTATAAATATCTCTTATGGTTGAATGTAAGATTCATGGAAGACACCCATGAATACAAATTTAGGACTCTCAGGTACGCAAGTATCATGAATTATATCGGATTGTAGCCATTTAAATACTGGGTTTCCTTTCCAAAAATTTGATTGAATCGAGTCGAAACTCTGAAGTACTTTAGTATACAAGTTGTCTATACTAGATCGATTTAAACAAATTTTACAATATTTCAAATAAGTCATGATTTTGTTTCATTTATGGTGTTTTAAATTACAACCCAATGAAGCAAACATTAATAAAGAAATAGAGATGGAGGAGAGTGTCAAAAGAACTTCCATGCTTTCTGCTAATTTTTATATCAATTTAATTGAGTTCTGGTTCTGGGAATGAATGGTTTACAAGTTGTGAATAATAATCTCTCCTTTTTTTTTGGATTATTGAAATGATAAAAAAAAGTAGTACATGGTGCCATAGTTGTTAGTATTGTATGATACGCGATACGNTAATAATCTCTCCTTTTTTTTTGGATTATTGAAATGATAAAAAAAAGTAGTACATGGTGCCATAGTTGTTAGTATTGTATGATACGCGATACGTATCGTATGATACATTACGATACACTTGAAAAATGATACGTATCGTATCTCTGTATTATTTTTGCACCGTATCATACGATACACGATATGATACGCTCGATACATGACGATTCTATTTTTTTTTTTTATTTTTTATTTTTTTGGGATTAAAATGACATCGTTTTACCCTAAGACTTATTTTTAAATCACTAACTAGTGAAATAACGTCGTTTTAGTAGTTATAGTTTAAAAATAAAAAATAAAGTCTAATGTTAATGTTGTTCAATTGAATTCAAAATTTCTAATTAATATTAAAGTTGTTCATGCAGTTAATGTTAGAAGTTTGAATTAGAGGTCTTTACATTTTGATATTATTGAACCATGTTGAAAACTTGAATAATTGTTGGAATATTAATGAAATACTATATTATTATGAGTCTATGACTTTTTTATAAAGGTATATACATATATTTTATTAATAATTATTTAAAAATTAAAATTGTGCGTATTTTACTATACACGATACGATACGATACATTATTTTTAAAAAACGATACGCCTTCTGATACACGATTTAACAACTATGCATGGCGCATAAGAGGACAAGAAGTCATCAATCTATATCTATACTATATCAATACTATTATGAAATGTCAACAAAAGTGAAAAACTTTTGTTTGACTATTATGTCCCTATTAAAATAATAAAAGACTCTTATATGCTTATGCATTTAATTATTCAATATTAATTAAATATTCAAATGACCTTTCATAATATTTTCATTTATTATTCCATGTGTTGTACATTTACTTATGTATCAGGTTAATGAATCATTATGTCTCCCATTTGTATAACCACTTCGTCACCAACTAATTTTTACTATTCTATTTCTATATCTATACTATATCTATAGCATTAATAAAAGAAGATAAAAAATCTTAAGTTTTGAATATATCCTTGATTTATTCTATAAAACTAATTTTATCTTTTATACAATTGTTGCAATAATTAATTAAGTTTTAGGACTTAAAAATTCGAGTGAGAATCTATTTATATCTAGCTATATCTAAATCTATACTACTCCTAAAAATGGCTTAACTCAAAAAAACTTTTACTTTCCATTTTTACCATCCAACAATTCTACAATATCTAACTGGATTTGTGTCTCACCAAATTTCAAAACATGGGGATTTGGTCTTCACACCACCATATCCGTTCCCATGTCCATTCCCTTTTGGTTTCCACTGACATCACAACAAAGCATTGCTTGAAATTTCAGTTTTGAGAGTGGAATTGGAAGTTGAAAAGATCCTATTCAAACATTAATTTGCATGCATTTTGGTTCATAAAGTAGGAATTTGAAAAGAAACGATACAAACAATCCATAAGGCAGATAACCATGGCCCAGTAACAATAGGTGTTCTACATTTTCTCTATTCCAATGTTATTCAATTTGTTATCTCTCTCTCAATTCTCATTTTACAATTGATATTGTCAACTTGTTTGTTACTTGATAAGGGACTGCAGCCAGCCTTTGGTTGGCCATATCTTGAAAGCAATGGATAAGGATTGCCATCCGAAGTGATCAGATAAATTAGATGAGGATAACCATATCAAGTGATTAGATTTTATTTTTTTTGGATCCTAGCTTATCCAACTCAATCAACAACTCAATAACTGTGTGAGCTTCTTTGCCTTCTTTATATCTATTATGTGTAGCTTGGTAATATAATCAATGAATTGTATTATTTTGGGATGTTGTAGTTTTTGATTATGCAATTGGTTATGTGTAGAAAAAAAAATACTATATGAGGATATTGAGAGAGAAATCTTCAAGAAATCATTACCAAGTATTTTAGAATTTTGTGTCAATTTTTTATAATATTGTGATTGCTCCCGCATACTGTTTATTCACAGGACTATTCCAATATTCACCAACTTGCCCAATATGATAGGCGATCATGGGATTTGCAATCCTCAAACGGGACAAGTGCATATTCACCCAAATCACACAACAAATCTTTCTCACCACCTCTTATTTATCTAATCTCGTTGTGCGCAACTCTAGCACTCCTCAACTAGCCCATTGCACAATCCACACTTATTATAGTAACAGTGAACCTTAAAATTACATTCTTCTCTCTCTTCCTACAAGAAAAAAAAACTGGTGAAATTATCCTTATCACACTCTAGTACTCTTCACAACGTACCTTTGTTTACTTCATTCAATTTTGTGTTTCTTATTCTAATATTTTGGGTTTGTTTTTCAATTGGTATGTTTTGTTGTTATTTTCCATCAGAGGATTATGGATTTTTGGTTCTTTCATAAAAACTACCTTTGCAGTCCGTAAAATATAGCAAAGTGCAGTGACCAGGAANAACTACCTTTGCAGTCCGTAAAATATAGCAAAGAGACCAGGTAAAGGAAACTTAATTACATAAAGTATTGCACTCTTGTACGACAATATTTTCTATGTTGTGTGAATAGGAATATGCAACTCCACCTAAATTATTTTGGGAGTATTGATTGAAGTCCTTTTCTTTGCCCAATATGCATATGACATTTCCTTTCATTGTGATTGTTTTTTTCATTTTTGACATGCATAGAAATTGGGTGTCTCATTGAGTTTTAAGGTCTTGGTCAAGTATATGTGTGATTTTGTTATGTATATGCCTCAAGTTCAAATTCACAAATTTGGAATTAGAATTAAAATTGTTTGGGGATATTTGGCTGGTAGCTTAGGTAGACACACTAAGCTTCCCTAAATGATAACTTGTAGCTTGAAATTCATAGTGTTCGATTTAACTTATTTAATCACTTAATCTCACTTTTGAGATCTATAGCATGGCGTGAGTGAAATAGTTGAACTTCCATACAACCCTTCCCATTGTATTTTCTTTCCTTTTTTTTTTTTTT